AAACACCTACAAGTCGTCTCTATAATTCTGGCAGCAGGCAAATCACTTAAAGATCAAAATCACACCAGTTACATAGGTTAGGCGTGGCCCTAATGTTAGCGTACCCGGAACTGCGAATCCTTGTGCTGTAAAAGTGCGCCCTGCATTTTGGAGTCGTGGATACGCTATAGTTGACTGTCAGGTATCACTTTTCTGTCATACAAAGATTTGATCCTGTGGTGCTGTTATCTAAATGACATCCCTCTAATCTATCAGTCCAAAAATAGGGACGGCTTTACGCAGGCAGACGTTGTGTAAGTTTGAGCGAAAATTCTGAAACAAAACTAACGCTGAACTAATATTAATACTGGATATAGTATGTATGATGTAGTTGGCATGTTACTATTCATTCCTCTTTTCTATCACTCAGTTCTTATTAATAATTACATCCTGTGCACACGATACACATAGTATGTGCAGATAGGATTTTAGTTGAAAAAAGAATAATTTAATTAGAATTTGTCATCCACTTGGTTTTAATCCACATTTAACTATCATTGAAACATTGGCTTGGAGCATACTAAAATATAGTGAACAAATGTGACACTTGCATGATAATCTGTTACAGAGTTAGGCTTAAGCTTAAACGCCATTTTGAGTTTGAAATGATCGATTTTTTAAAAGGTTGTTTTAAGTTTCATCCGTGAATTCTTCACAAACAAGTAAGATGCTCAGGGTTAATTTGGATTCATATGGTAACTATGGTAACTTCCTGGTAATACCTTATTTGGTAGATAAAATCATTTGGTGATTAAAGTTGAGAAAGAAAAGACATTCATTTACAGTTATTCTTTTTTTGAACTTCAAATCATTTGTCTCGCCCATATCTATATCCCAATGTAGATATCATAATCTATTATTTTATAGAAAGCAGTGACGCTTTTTCTGAAAATAACTAAACTAATGGTGTAGTGTCAACTAATTATAAAAATCTGAAAATTAATGAGAGATAATTAGTTATTATTGCACTATAGTTAAAATGGTAGTACAAACCATAATGCTAATATATTTTCACATTTTAAAATGCAGTTATGATATATATATATATAATTAAACTTTACCAAAACAAAAAGAGATTGAATAAGTTTATGTTTCATATTTCTTTGGTACATGAGAGAATCGGGATTATTGTAAAACACCCTCTTTCTTTCTATACTCTAGAACTTTTGGACGTGGTCTATACGTTTGAAACCGAGGCGACACTCTTCTACATCCAACAGTTTCCAGTGTACTCCTACTCCATCCACTAAGTCACTGGAATCTAGGAGTCATGTTCGTTCTCCCAGAAATATACCGATTCTCACTGTCACGCCTGTGTGATCGTGTCCGTACAGGTTTTGGTTTTGTTGTTTTATTCCAATCAAACTTTTGCATGTATGTTCGCCACCAACGATAACAGCGTTTCAAGAACAAGCCGATCCCGCTGGAAAAAAAAAAGCTTCTAATTATTGTTCGAGATGAACTGTTCGAAGATGCTTGATATTTTGCCGTCTTATCTGCGCAAGGCTTAACTGCAAAGATATGGTATTTTGCTGTCTTATCTGCGCAAGGCTTAACTGCAAAGATATTTCTTTAATTAGCTTTCACGCCATCAATCTGCTCAAACTACAGCAATCTTATGGCATCTATATATATTTGTTCTCTATGTTGATATAGTTAAGTATGATAGTTTTACTTTTCACTGTTGACCGCTATAAAATAACGATTTTTCTCGCTGTTAAACCTCTGTTGCCCGAGAAAAAAAAATCCAATTTCTTACTTAAATAGGTCTATATCGCATAAAAAAATATGTTTTTGTGAAATATATTTTGGTAACTAATGGATGAATACATTACCTAGACGTAACATTATTCAATTGAGGAACCAACAAAAATATTTCCATGGTTTATTTAGACTGTTACCTGGAAGTAAGAACATTCAACAACGGAATTAAAACAACAAAGACTGATTTGTTACCTGTAGGTTACAATGTGCAATAGAGGGTTAAAAGGTTTGTCAAATATTTTAGTTTGTATTATGAAGCATTAAGATAGGATATACACGTTTTTAATTCTTGAAAATATCTAAGGAACTTGATAAAGAATGTAGTGTTTAAAAAGGTATAACAGGCCTAATACTAATGTCTTATTGAATCAAGGGACGTGTTATATATAGGGCAGTTGTTGCTTACGTAATGTTCTGACCACTACTATGTTTGTTGTGTCCCAGACGGCCTGATGAGCTCTGGACTGAGTGAAACGTGTCTTTGGCAATGGATATGACAAATATAGTGTAGTTGGAATACTATTATTATAATACACTTCTAATTTTGGAAAATCCCCAAGAAACTGGATAAAGAATGTAGTGTTTAAAAATGTAATAGGCCTAATGATAATATCTTATGACAAATACGTAATTCGTGTCAACTATGAATCCTAATTTAAATATTTCTTGAGATGTAAACACGTACTGATGTAGGTTAACATTTTCCAGTTATATGATATTTGTGAATTAATTAAACTTTAAGCATATTCTTTTTCTGCAAACTTTTTGGAAACATTTTGACAGATACATCAGCAAACCGAACTATACGGACGTCCAGTAGTCCAGTGGTAAGCTTGAAGGCTTAAACGCCAAAAACAAGGTTTCGATATCCGTGGTGGGCACAGCACAAACCGCCCACTGTGTAGTTTTGTGCTTAACATCAAACGGAAAGACAGGCCGAACTACGTGAAAGAAGCGGCAAACATGTTAATGCAGGTGTTTAAACTATGGATTTATTATAACCAGAGGTGTACATTTTACAGGATCGCGCGTTTTACACGCAACAATACGTTCATTTGTCCTCCCCCTCACCAGTGGCCAATCGGTAAGTCTGAGGGCTTATAACGCTTACAAAAATGAGTAAACTTGCCCATACTAAGAAAGAAATGTGACTAACTAGAATAAAAAGGTAATAGTTGTTGGCAACTTCGTGTTAAAGTTAGATAAGTACGTACAATAATACACAGTGTTTAATTTCTAGAAAGCAAAAACTAACAAAAAAAAAACATACCAGGGTCTCTGTTAATACTGTGTGGAGGGGAAATATGAGTTTTATAAGACAATAGTTTAAACATTATTGAAGCTACCGTTTGATATGAGGTTAGAAGGGACTAACGTGGTTCATTAAGTCGGTCAAATATCAAATCATAATGCCCCTGACGCAATCTTAAAATTGTTATATTTCCGCCTTTAGGTTGAAAAATGTAAATTCAGAGCACAGACAATATATATTTATCACGATGACAGTACTTTTGGTAGCTTGAGCACCACTATTACAGATTTAGTGTTGTTATATTAAATTATTAAGACAAGATCGCTTAGATCGCTATCTGGTTTCAGACTTTTCAACTGTGAACCGAATTGATCAACAGTTTTCTCAACTAGGCAACAGTATTCTCAACCAGGCAACATTTTTTCCCAAAGAATTTCGGTTATATAAGTAAAGGATTATTGGTTTCTTTTACTTAATGTGGACGAATACTCACCAGGAAACTACACTTGGAGCTAATATTCATGAAATTTCCAGAATTTCATTGAAATAATAAAAAAACACGCATTTTTTATTGAAGAAAACAATAATTATTAATCACTGATTTTGGTGTTCATCTGTGTTAGTACACACAAAAAATAGTGCTTAATATAAAATATTACGACTCTGCTTTAACTCACTTTAGCAGCATTTTAAATTTGTGTATATTTGCTCATCAATTCTTACTACACCAGCGATAGGATATATTTTTATATATAGTTCTTTCTTCTCATATTTATGAAAATAACCCCTGCAGTTTGTTTGTTTTTTTAGTATTTGAAACCATTTTGACAAGTCTTTAAACAGATATTACTATCATCTAATAGAACCGTTTGTGTTTAAAGTCTTGTGATATTACTATCATCTAATAGAACACGTTTTGACAAGTCTTTAAACAGATATTACTATCATCTAATAGAACCCGTTTTGACAAGTCTTTAAACAGATATTACTATCATCTAATAGAACCCGTTTTGACAAGTCTTTCTGTTTAAAGACTTGTCAAAACGTGTTCTATTAGGTGATAGTAATATCTGTTTTTAGGTGATAGTAATATCTGTTTAAAGACTTGTCAAAACGTGTTCTATTAGGTGATAGTAATATTAGAACCCGTTTTGACAAGTCTTTAAACAGATATTACTATCATCAAATAGAACCCGTTTTGACAAGTCTTTAAACAGATATTACTATCATCAAATAGAACCCGTTTTGATAAGTCTTTAAACAGATATTACTATCATCTAATAGAACCCGTTTTGACAAGTCTTTAAACAGATATTACTATCATCTAATAGAACCCGTTTTGACAAGTCTTTAAACAGATATTACTATCATCAAATAGAACCCGTTTTGAAAAGTCTTTAAACCGATATTGCTATCACCTATCTCTGTGAGACTGGAAGCGCCACAGTGGACAGGTCGTGTATATTTCATTGCCAGAAAACTCGTGCTTCGCAAATGTAACTTGAAAAGGGGCAAATATTTTGATTTGAACTTGTTGAGTGATTAGCACCGGTGAATAAACTTATCTACTTACAAAAGCTATCTTCGTGTATTTGTAGTCTTGTATAAAAGTTATATATATATATATATATTTATCAGGTGATGGTGTACTGTACATAAAACGTGATGTAAATGTGTTTCTTTGTTTTTGTTGCTCTTTTTTTTATCTTTAGCATGAAACTTTCTGTAAATAATCGAGTTTCTTTAAATATTTATCGAACGAAGGTTTTCATCAATCGTGTAGTGTTGCATAAAATCAAATCGATATGTAATTTATCGAGGGAAATAAAATCAGTTACTGACATTTTCTTGTTGTGATCATTAATATATTTAAATCTTATTTACTGTTTTTTACATCTGGATTTATAAAGGAAGTTTAAAGCTGTGGACAGAGAGTCGTGATTGACCATTCACCGGAAGTGCTTTAATACATCAGGATTTATAATGTAGATTAAATAAAAACTGCGCACAGACCGTCGTGATTGGCCATTTACCGGAAGTGCTTTAACACATCCGGATTTATAATGTAGATTAAATAAAAGCTGCGCACAGACCGTCGTGATTGGCCATTTACCGGAAGTGCTTTAACACATCCGGATTTATAATGTAGATTA